ACATGCAGGCAAACATTTGCTTGTTTCCAGTGTGGCAGACATTCATTCAAGGTTTGAGGTGTTTGCTTCTGCAAAACCTGCTGTCATGTTGTTAGGGAGTTCCTGATGCATTTAGTGTTGTTTGTTTGTATATATATATATATTTGTTTTTTTTTGTTTTTTTACATTGTATGCAAATCCTTTTTTTTTTTTTTTTTTTTTTAAATTCCAAAAATTTTTGCATTCTGGATGGTTTGTTTCTGGAGTTTTTAGTCATAAAAAAGCATGTCTAATCAATTGAGTTCCTACTTCAAAAATTTGATAATTTGTTACAAATGTTACAATAATTAAAAAAATGTACAACTTGCTTGTGAACGCAATTTTTTTTAGAAGTTCTGCGTTGTCCACTTTAATTTTTTCTGGATTTATGATTTAATACATATTTATTGTCAAAAATGGTGGCAATCAAATCAAGGCATAAAATAATTTAATTAATCTTTTAAAATATAATGAAATGAAAATTCAACAATTCCTTTACATTTTTTGGCAAGCAGATTGCTGTACAGCAGAGGTTTACTGTTAACAGCATGGAAGAAGAATGTGTGATTTTTCTTTAAAAATAAAGTTTTAATAATTGTATTATTATTATTATTATTATTACTTTGAGAAGTACATTCTACTTTACAGTAATATATTTCTGTCTTCAAGTTAAACCAAACAATTACATTTTTATGACTATGTTTTCCATATTACAGCAATCATAGGGCCCTAATTAATTAACACTGTTTTCCAAAACAAATCCAAATTTCTTCCGCTGGTATTTGCTACTGCTACAGACAATACTGCATGCTGGCATAGATACTACTCATACTATTTCTGTATTATATAGAATGTGTATTGTGTGAAACTGCACTTTTCAGGCTCCAGTCGTGGTATCAGAGTGCATGTGGTCTGTCAAGTGTGCTTACTATGTAGTAGCGTACTCTGTCCTCATTCAGACTGATAACAGTGGCTCTCCCTGATCAGTGCAGATGAGGGTCAGGTCAAAGGTCGGGCGCTCCATCTTGTCCCTGTTGCAGTACAGATGGAGAAGCAGCAGGACTGCGTTTACTGCAGCATTCACATTGGGCCTCTGGATCTATTCCCTGTCCTGGAGCCATACTGCACAGCCTTAACTAAAGCCCAAAACAGTGTGCTCTGATTACTAATTTGACATTTAGCTGATGCTTTTTATCCAAACAGACTTACACCCTGTCCCAACAAATCCAGGCATGATCCGTCTGTTCACACTGAAAGCAGAAAAGCTGTGCCGTGGTTAGAGATGCTCACACCTGGTTTAGATTATTTTCTACAATACCATTACAAAGTTTAAAATACAGTAAAAACAGTACAATTGTGAAATAATATTACAATTTAAAATAGCTTTTATATGTGAATATATTGTCAAATGTAATTTATTGCTGTGATCAAAGCTGAATTTTCAGCATCATTACTCTAGTCTTCAGTGTCACATGATCTTTCAGAAATCATTCTAATATGCTGATTTGCTGCTCAAGAAACATTTTTAAATTATTATCTATGTTGAAAACAGTTGTGCTGCTTCATATTTTTGCAAACTGTCAAACATTTAAATTTTCTAAAAAAAAATTGAATTGTCAGATAAACAACATTTTATAACAGATTTTTTTTATATATATCTCATTATTCTATATCTCATAATTCAGATATTTGTTCTGAGTTCTGAATTTACATCTTGCAATAAGAACAATAATACGGAATAAAATAATTTAAATAAAAAAGTAATTGCAACTTTTTATCTCACAATTCTGACTTTTTCCTCGCAATTGCAATTTTATATCTCATAATTCTGAATTTATACCTCACATTTCTGAATTTTTTTCACAGAATTGTGAGGAAAAAGTCTGAATTTTTAGATTTAAAAAATTACAGTTACCTTTTTAAAAAGAAAAATTATCCTGTAGCAGAAACAAGCTTCCATAATTTAATGCATCTGTAACGGGGCTGACGAGACGTGAGACGTGCGGATCCATGTGCGAGCTTTATTAAAACAGAAGAGGTCAGAAACACAGGCAGGGTCGAACAATGGCAAACAGGTATAATGAGGGCAAGACAGAAGAGTAATCCAAAACGGGCGTGGTCGATAAGCGGCTAACAATATCCAGAGGGCTTGACACGAGGGGTTATCCAATAACAATGCAAAGGTCCAGGCAGGGGCAAACAGTATCCTGACAGGGCAAGACGAGAGAGGTAGTCCGAAGTACACAGGCAATAATCAGAAGACGAGGAAACAGACAAGGCAAGACTAGGCTAAAGCTATCGAAGGGAAACAGGCTCTGTACAGTAGCTATCGCTAAGAGAGTGATAAACGCATACAATACTCGGCA